TTAAGCACAGATTAACAGATATTCCTATGAAATACACCGGAAAGGCTCTTATTTCTTATATTATTCTAATAATATCATTGCTTCCTGTCAATATTTTTTAAAATACTAAAAAAGACTAAGTTAAAATAGAGAGTAAAAGCTATTTATTCTTACTGCAAATGTACATGTTTTGGGAACTCAACAGTCTTGCGCCTAAATGAACCCACAATAAAGAATAAGCCCTGCCAGGATTGTACTAAAAAGTTTTGTCTCGAACAAAATCTTACAATTTGTCAAAATATAGAGTTTAAAAATCCAGAAGATTTAATAGAAAATACAGATATATCCACTCTTTGTTTTCGTACGTGCATCAAAGAGCTAATTCATATGCAATATTCATTATTTATAGAGAGGGAGTCCATAAAAGATATGACTTTTATATATATATTCATTATTCTTACTGGAATACTTCTAATTTTGGCGCCCTTACGACCCTATACAATTCAATTCTTTAAAAAATTCCGCCGGTAAAACTGCTCATATCTCAACAAGCGGTATAAATAAGGTCAAACAATCAATATTAGTATGTCAAGTATTTTTTATATTCATTTCTTATAGTTCATATAATCCAGATATTGTCTGTAGATACACCAGAAGCATCTTTAGCCGATCTTGTTATGATTCTTACTCAGAAACAAGATCCTTGAGGAGTTGAATAACCTTTTTCTTATTTTCTCTATTTACTTTATCTTTTGTGTTGACAAAAAAAGGTATACCCAGTCTCTGGAGTTCTTTCTCTTGTACTTTAGACATTTCTTCAATGGCTCTATGTATTTTTAAATCAAACACAAGAAGTTCATCTTCCATTGTTTGTTCAAATTCCTTATTGATTTAAAATAATATAATTATTACTTTTAATCTACCTTTTCTTCTTCACCAGTTAAGCGTGAACTAAATCGTTAATTTTTTAAGAATTATACAAGAACTTACATAAATGCATTTGCATTTTGTTTATTCTTTAAATTTTCAATTAACATTTGTCTATCTTTTGCCCATTTTTCCTCATAACTTGCTTGTTCTTGTACCATTTCTTTAATTTTTTTTAATATAGATGGATCCCACAGAGTTAATTGTATAATATAACGCAACGCACTTGGATATGTCTCAATTAATGACGGATCAGCATGTGGTTTCACTATAAAGTTTGGAGAATAGAGTGTAGATTTCTTTAAATCATCATTTTTAAAACCAACAGAGTTTTCTCTTGAAAATACATAATCTTGTTTAGAAATATCTAATTTTTTCTTTTTTTGTTCTGAAATAAGCTCATCTAAAATATTGAAAACATCTGCTTCTTTTTTCCCCTCCATTTGATCACTCATTAGATAGGAATTGAATGATAAAAACCAGAAATATGTATAAATATGAATCTTAAGAGAAAATATGTATTCCCCGGCAATTTATTTCAGTATAAATATTTAGAAAAATGCAATATAAACAAATGATTATTAGCAATTAATCAAGATTTAACATACATGTTTTTTTCAGCAAATACAGTCATAACAGCAAAAACTGAATAGAACAATGCAACAGGATAGGCAACTAAAAACCGCATTTCGTTTAATTGAAAAGCCTACATAAGAATTTAGAATAGATTTCTGATAAAATAAAACTTTACCACAACGAACATAGCACTAGCACTATAAGTACACCATAGAATAGCAATAGAAGAGACAATATATCCAATGAGTCCACTATAAATGTATTAATATAGCTTCACGAAAAGAATATACAAACTCCATGGAGACAAGGACTCCACATGCAGAAGTAAGAACAAGAGGCAAGAGACAATATCCAAGTACTGATACAGTACGTGAAAAATGCAGGCCACGAAGGGACATTAAAGAAAAAATCGTATGAAGAGAAATGCAACCAAGAAGAGCAACGCCATAAATGTAGCCAAAATGTCTTTTACCACTCTAATTAATAAGAAACAATGACACTGAATCTTTAAACCAATTACCAATAAAAGAAAGGTAGCAAAAAGAAGGCAAAAAAGGATTGGACCTGCCAAATCACTATCATCCATAATATGATCATCAACGCTTTTCAATGGATTTAACACAGCCAATGTCTACCAAAAGTAAAAAAACGCTTCTACAGATAAAAGCACGACCTTTCCCTTGATATGGAGAAAATTGACGCCCAATTCTGGCGATGTATTAGTTAATAATGCGAAAACAAATAAGAATTATTTATAAAAATCTGTATAAAGATAATGATACAAGATAGAGAAGCGCGATTTTTGAATAGAATGAAAACTCGATTCAATCGGGTGTATTTCTGTTGAAACAGGATATGCGGATGCGCAATATATATTACCTTCGAGCAACGGGGGTTCATTGGGATAGCCTCCTGTACCAAAAGCAGCAATCCAACCCATCTTATTCTCCCAGACTCCAAATGAAGTATCCTGCATGCAAGACTGGATATTTACGTCCCGTTTATCAGCCAAAAACCCCTCTTTTCCCAGATGCCCATAATTTGAAGGATAGAACTGGAGCTTTAAACTATTATAAATAAACAATATAAATTACTTTCAAGTCTTCAGACTGATTATTAAGAAAATTCTTCGACATAATAAAAATATTGACTTTTTCTTAAGCCCTGTCTTAATATTAGAACTAAATTGTTAAGATTTTCTTAAGATTCTTAACTTTTTCTCAAGATTTATTAAGAAGGTTAATAATAACGTTAATTTTTTAACCGTCGAGAGGCCTTCAACGAACGTCAAAAATATTAGTGAATTATAAAATAGCGAAAAAGAGCAGAAATAAGCTGGGTATTTAGAGAAAATACGAGTGATTCTTGACTGTACAGGCAGGCATTGTTGCAGTCCTTTTTTTCCGGTGAAAAATGGCCCCTCCGTTGACCAGAAACCGTGAAACAAAAAATTCAACATCTAAAGCAGATCGAATTTTGAAAAAAACAGCTAAATCTTATGGGGACTTGAAGAAGATATCTCATACACATTCGCTGACATTGGATTCTATCCAGCGTTCGGATGGATTGGGGAATTTGAGGCACAAACAGTCCTTTATGTCCCTGCGATCACTTACATCAAAGGAAAAAGTAGCAAGAAAATCATCGATACCACTTATCAATCAAACGCCTGTCTTAAAGGACGAGAAATTGTGTGTTTTTGTTTTTGGAACGGGCTCTATGAGCGAATTGGGACTGGGTCCAGAGCCTACGGGTCGCGTCGTGAAGCGACCGAGACTTAATCCGCATTTGCCTTATGATAAAGTAGGAATTGTAGATGTAGCAGTTGGAGGGATGCATTCTGCGGCAATTGATTATAAAGGAAATGTATATACATGGGGTGTCAATGATCAGGGTGCCCTTGGAAGAGACACCACTTGGAAGGCCAATCGGACCGATTCAGATAGTGATGATGAACAAATGCTAAATCCTAAAGATAGTGTTCCGGGTAAGGTTGAGGGTATTCCGGATGGGGTAAAAATAGTGAGGGTGGCATGTGGAGATAGTATTAGTGTAGCAATTACAGATCAAGGTCAAGTATACGCATGGGGCTCGTTTAGAGTATGAATACAAAAAAAACTATCAATGTTGATATTTTTCTAGTGCTCAGATGGAATTCTTGGGTTTTCACCTCAAATTAAAGTTGCGCGTTATCCAATTCATATAAAAGAACTCAAAAACATAGTTTCTGTTGCATGTGGAACAGATCATGTGCTTGCACTTACGGCATATGGATCTGTATTTTCATGGGGGAATGGCCAACAATTTCAACTGGGTCATCGTGTTGTGGAGCGAACTCGTATTAATGCGCTTGTGCCTCGAGAATTTGGACTTAAAAAGATAAAGGCTATAGGAGCAGGATCCTATCACTCATTTGCCATTAGTCATGATGGAAAAGTATTTTCATGGGGCCTAAATCAGTTTGGGCAATGTGGTATTGAAAGTTCTGGAGGGGAAGATGGTGCTGTCGTATCTAGCCCAACACATGTTGAAAGTCTAGATGATTATAACATTGTTTATATAACAGGAGGTGAACATCATTCTGCTGCATTGACTCTGGATGGCGAGTTACTCGTTTGGGGAAGACTTGATGCAAATCAGCTTGGTATTCCTCGAACATCTTTACCCAATTATACTGTTTATGACGCTTCGAATCGGCCAAGATTTATACCAATTCCAACTAAAGTTCCAGGAATATCTCGTGTTAAACGGATCTATTGCGGTACACATCATAACCTTGCAATTCTTGAAGATGATGGAAGCGTATGGAGCTGGGGTTTTGGAGAAAGTTATCAAGTTGGCCAAGGTCCTTCTGGTAACGATATTGAAGTTCCTACAAAAATCGATAATACTGCTATACGCGATAAAGTGATTGTTGCTGCTGGAGCAGGTGGTCAATTTAGGTTTTTCTTTATATATATATATGTATTCTCTATATTTACTTTTTTAGTGTTCTTTTGGGATTGCCTTCTAAATTATGATTTTTTTCAATCAATCATTACAATATCTTGTATACAAATAATAACGATTTCTTTAGAATAAGCATTTTTTAATGACTTGAAGTCTATAGAAAACAATAAGAAATAAATTTCAGGAAATTATGATTTATATATAACGACACTTTGTTCTATTTAATTTTGAATATGTTATATGATCTACAATATAGGCACTTCAAGTAGGTGACTGTAAATGTTATGTAAATGTTTATTAATTATAATCAAGTTATATAAAGACAAAAGCATATTTTATATATATGTTTAAGATTTAAATTTAGTTTTCTTTTCAAAAGGTAGATTGAATTATTTTCTATTTTAAAAGAATATTTTGTTTGAGCTTTCACAGAATAAAAACAATGTTAAGAAAGTAAAACAGGAGCCAATTGACTTAAAAACATAATCTCCATAATTTTTAGTCGACTTATAAGCTAGAAGTATTGAGGTTATGAAACACATTGAAAATAGTGAATATTTTCAAAAGATTGAGAGAGACGGGATTCGAACCCGCGCGTCCGAAGACATTGGTGCCTAAAACCAACGCAGTAACCACTTTGCTACCCTCTCACGCAGAATTTCGGCGTTCATTTTTATAAATAAACAAGACGTTTATAAATTGAGTATAAAACGAGAATTACAATTAAATATAAACCCATATATTAAGACTTGTATTTATAAAAAATACAGTCTTTGAGCTTTATATATAAATAGTTATATATAATAACTGACTGCCTTGGTTGTTATAACCTCATAGTCATAGAAACTGTCTATATTCTATACCCAGATATATCTTCAACCTTCTTTTTTATAAATATTCTGCTTTTATTTACTAAGCCTTATGGCATCAAGTATTAATCCTGAGTGTAATGAACTTAAGCAGCGATATGATACATGTTTTAATAATTGGTATACTAATAGATTTCTTCAAGGATCTCGTACTCTTGAAGAATGTGATGAATTGTTTCAGGCTTACAAGGCATGTTTTATGGTATAACAAATAAATACATAAAATACAACTAATAGCATTCTATTAGAAAGTCCTTCATGAAAAGCCTATTATGGAGCTTTTAAATCATGCAAGGACTCGAGCGCCTTTTGAAGAAGGCGGCAAACGCCGTACTGAAGATTTTTAGAAATCTGAGAATCTTAATAATCATTAAAAAAGAGAAAATATAAGAATATTAGATAGAAATGTTCAAGACGGGTATATCAAATTCTAAGCATTTGGTCAAACACTTTTTTGTGATAACATTTTATTAAAGGAACCTTTTTTAAACATCATTAACACTATATCTTTAACAAATATGTTCTAATATACTTAATGGATGGACTTTGAAATATCTATTATCTGAATTGGCAATGATTATACTTTTTTATCAGGTATTTTTGCAAATTTACAGCTTACAGCGTACAAATGGAGAATCTCTCCAAAAAACATATAAAAAGGATAAAGACATGATCAGTCCTAGTCATAAATGGCTTAAATGGGGTTAATAAAGAGGACAATAAGTATTCATTACTGGTCTCAGGACATATTTTTTTAGCGTTTCCTTGACAACCACCCGATGGGTTGGCTAACCACCAATATATATCTAACAGTTCAGCCTTAATAACTTGTTTAAAAAAGTGCATAAAATACTGAGGAAAACAAGCGGGTTGTATCTGGTTTTCTTCTAATTTCTTGTTGTTTTTTTATTTTTTTTTTCCGACAAAAATCGACTATTATAATGGATAGTTTTGCTCAGGAAGAAGATTATATTAAATTTGATTTTAGTGATGAGGAACCATTGAAGAAGACTGAGAAGGAATCCGTTGATCCTTCTAATCCTAGAAAAGGCTTTTTTCGAGAAACAGCAGCAAAAATGGAGAAATTTTTTAAAAGAAAACACTTGGAAAATGACACACTTGCTAATAAACGGTTTCGGCGAGAAATAGAGGCACCATGGGCAAAGGATTATTCAGAGGAGACGAGTGTTTCTCGAATGTATGTTTTTTTACATCAAAAAATTCAGATTAAAATACTTAGTCTTCATCGTGAATTATTGGATTTCGCTGACTTTATTTCTCCTACCAAAGAAGAACATTTCGTTCGGGAACTCGTTGTTCAGAGAATAAATTCTCTTATTCAGAAGCATTGGAAAAATGTGCAGCTTTGTGTATTTGGTTCATTCGATACGATGTTATATTTGCCTACAAGGTAAAATAAGAGAGTTTTTAAATTTAATTTAATAAATATTTAGCGATATTGACCTTGTCATCCTCTCTTTAGGTTCTAGGATTTATGAGACTAAAAAAGATTTACATAAGCTTTCTCGTTATTTACGTAGCTCAAATGTTGCAAAAGACATTCAAGTTATTACTGGTGCCACCGTCCCTATTATTAAATATATTGATACCTTAACGCAGATTCATGTTGATATTTCATTTAATAAACCAGGAGGCCTAATATCAGCAAATATTATAAAACAGTATATGAAAGATCATTATGCATTAAAGCCTCTTGTTATGTTTATAAAGCATTTTCTCAATATGAGGGGTCTTAATGAGGTGTTTTTAGGAGGGTTAGGAAGCTACTCCATTATTTGTCTTGTTATAAGTTTCTTACAAAGACATCCAAAACTCCTCTCAAAAGAAATTAAAGAGCAAGACAACCTTGGTGTTCTTCTTATGGAATTTTTTGAGCTTTATGGGAAATTATTCAATTATAACGAAGTTGGTATTTGTATTGATAATGGAGGAAAATATTTTTCAAAGGTTTCTTTTTTATCTAAACTAAATATTGTCTAAATATACTTATAGAGATCAAGAGGATGGTCTAAATCTAATCAACCATTTCTTCTTTCTATCCAGGACCCTGCTGATCCAGAAAACGATATTGCCAAATCGTCTCGTTGTATTCTTAAAATTAAAGCTACCTTAGGTGGTGCTTTTGATCTTTTAGCTTCTAGACTTTATCACGTGAATAAAACTATAAAACCGAAATTGCATTATAAACGTAAAAAACGAGATATATATATAGATAGTATTTTGAGCGCTGTTGTTTCTATAGATACAGATATTATTGAGCATCGTCAAATGTTAAAACAAATCTATGCTGAGAATGAAAGGCAAGATTAAGGTGGTTTTGAGATTCAGATTTATGTAAAAATATTGCATAATATTTCTTTATAAATTCATACGGATATCTTGGATGTTTAAATAGGATTTAAATTATAAATTAAATACAAATACCTAGAGTTTTATTAACTAAAAATGTGTTTATAGTCATTAACTGAATGTTTTTCTAAAAAGAATTGTATAGTAATGAGATTTCTGATAATCATGCCTATTTAAATGGTTATGTGGATATTAAATCTAGAGATAATTCAATTGTTATTTCAACAAATGTCTAGAAAAACTCTATATACAGCTTTTCATGTTATGTTTAGAGATGATTACAATTACAGAGCAAAAATCGGCTCAATTCAATTCATGTACAAGATTTAGTTATGCTTGCCAATTTATTCGTGCAAAATAATATACTCCATTATGCCATTGATATGTAAAGGATGGCACGCGCATACAACGCGCATACAACACGTATACAACGCGCATATAGTAGGAAAATAGACGGTAAAAACATGAATTACAAGCCAATTTATCCATTTCATTCTATTTTTTCAACAAAAATCTTCAAAATACTTGAATATAAGTGTTTAATGGTTTGCTTGAAAATACACTCTTTTCTATGCATTTTCTATTAAATCAGCATAAAAATCAGCACAAAAGTCTTATTCTCCTATAATTTTGTTGTACAAGCTTAATTTTATGGGACTCGAGATATAGAGGGGTCAACGTCCAAAAAAAAGACAGTGCAAGGCCGCAGGTTTTTGAAGGTCATATTCATCTCTAAAGGACATGAGAGAGCGTAGAAGAAGAGGGGGTCGTATGTCTTGGAGAGGCGAGGGAGGTTTGGCGGGGAAAAATGCAGGGGATTCAGTCGAAAGAGACGGAGATATAGTTATGGCAGATGATACAGAAGGATTGAAGGAAAGATTGTATGCTTTTATTATAGAAAATGTATGATGGGACTGATGATTCAGTAGCAATCCTTACAGGGGCGGCAGTCGTGCAAAAAAAGTCTTTAAAGGGCATTTTCATGATACACCAACGGAAATTATGGTAAAATAAATGGAATAATTATAGTCAAAAATCTTATAAGTTAGATTACAGGCTATGATGGGGGCACGGAGGATGATTTGATTGGGTTTATTTCTCGTAAATGCCATGTATTAATTACAAATGTATGAATAATGATGAATGGGTTTTATTTTTTTAATATTTTATGGATTAAAGCTGCATTATGATGGATCTGTACTTTATGCATCAGTATCATCGAGCGAAAATGCTCGTGCTCTTCTCAAACTTTCTGGATCTAGATTTGCAGGCAAAAATGTAAGTTTTTTATCGAATATGGGTTGTTAAATATTTATTTCAAGCTTTTTATATCAATACCCGATGCTCGAAAAGATCAAGTGATGTCTACGACCTCGTCGACATCTTTAACATCCGTTCCAACGACTAAACAGTCTACGATTAATATTTTATTACAATTTCTTTCTAACAAATATATTCATGAAACAAAAACGCTGGATTTATCATCAATGCATTCAAACCCTATACTTGTTAATGGTGGAATGTTTTCTTCCGTCTTGTCATCTATTAAAACATTTCCTGCTCTAATGAAGATAGCTAAACGTGAATTTCCAAATGTAACGTCTTTATATATACAAGAGATAAATATTAATCTAAATTTAGGTTATAAGTGTCAATTTGTCGTCCAATAAAATAACTTCTCTTATTAATATATCTACATTAGCTCAAACATATCCTAATCTTAAAAATCTCAACTTGGCAAATAATCTACTTAAATATTATAAAGATTTGGATGTTTGGTCTCATAAGGATAAACTTCCAAATTTACAAGAGCTTATATTAATTGGAAATGAAATTCGAGAAAATGAAATTAAAAAAGGAAATGAAATTAATTATCGTTCTGAGATAATTAAACGATTTCCAAATTTGAAAATGCTTGATATGGTTCCTGTGACACAAACTATTCAATTTGATATTAAGGATTCTTCAATTAATGATTTTGGAAAAACTATATTACCTAAAAAAATTTGTGGTAGTTTTTTTGAATCTGATCTTATTAAAAATACAGTCATGGCATTCTTAGAAAAGTGTTTTTATTTGTCCTTTAAATTACATTTAACTCCTCATATAGATATTTTTCCTTATATGATAATGATAGGTTAAATGCTGTTTCATTATATGATCAAAACGCCTTATTTTCTATATCAATTAATACAATTGCACCAAGAAAAAGAGAACCAGGTATATTTTCATATAGTTCTTCCCAATTTTCGGAATATATTTCTATGAGCAGGAATCTTATGCGACTGTCATCATTAGGTTGGTTTTTTACTTTTTCGAGTAATGTTAAAACAGTTTAGATGCAAGAGTTGCAAAGCTTAATATTGGTTATGCTGATATTTCTCGAGCTTTTTCTTCATTGCCAAAAACTC